TAGCATAGTCTAGACCATCATATACACCCCTGTATTAGAATATTAGTATAGCATAGTCTAGACCATCATATACACCCCTGTATTAGAATATTAGTGTAGCATAGTCTAGACCATCATATACACCCCTGTATTAGAATATTAGTATAGCATAGTCTAGACCATCATATACAGTACACCCCTGTATTAGAATATTAGTGTATCATAATCTAGACCATCATATTCACCCCTGTATTTGAATATTAGTATAGCATAGTCTAAACTATCATATACACCCCTTTTTTATAAATAAATTAATTCATTTATATGATTAATGAAAATAAGTACTTTACCTGCCGCTAGGACCGTACCTTAAGTTTAATTCACTGGATTTAACCTAGATTATTAAAATAGTTTTCTTCTAAAATCTTGTCAAATTATTAGATCTTTAATAAAATATTTACTATTTGTTGGATTAGGATTTAGTACCTGGAAGTCTGGACGTATTGTACTCACGAATATTGGAGCTAGAGAGTTCTCAGATCTAGAAATTTAATTTGTCATTTTTTATTTATCTGTATTGCAGATGTAAATCTACATAAAATTCATAAAACTTAACCTCACCTATGATGGCCTATCTAGACTTTATATGGTCTGTCCCAGCCCCACCAACCCTAACTTTATCTTGAACTGATTTGACCTAACCTGATCTGATTTGAGTTAATCTGAGTTCTTTCCTTCCCTTCTCTTCCCTTCCCAAGTTCCCTTCCCTTTCTATTCCGGATTAGACCTGATTTGACCTGACCGGATCGGACTTGACTTGATAAAGCCTAATTTAGTTTGACCTAATTTGACCTGACCTGACATAAATTGACCTGACCTTATCTGACCTAACCTGATTGGTTTTTCCCGAAGGCATTTTCCAAAGAGCGACTTCCCAAGTGACAATTTCCCAAATGGCAACTTCCCAAATATGCAATATCCCAAGGGGCAACTTCACAAAGGTAAGGTTTCTGAGGTGCCGCAGGCTGTAACAGGGCAAATGCGCTCAAACTAGAATGGGGGGGGCCGAACGCTGCGGCTAGGACAGACTCGGGAAGTTGCCGCTTGGGGAAAATGCCTTTATAAAATTACCTAATATCACCTGATTCAATATATGACCTGATCTGACCTGATTTGATCTGAACCCACTGAGTCTGAATGTATATCGTTGTTATATTTTTCCGTCTTCACATCAAAACTAAACAGTTTTACCTCAAGTCAAATTTCTGCAAAGGAACTGAATAATTGCAGCAAATTCTACTTTTCAGACCCTTAAATCCTTGTAACCTTATGTCGCAGACCTATGATATTTTATTAATTCTGCTAAATCAAATAGTCAAAGTTTGAAATATTTACAACACCTGAGCTGAAAATTTTAGAATTGTGGATAAAGAAATTAATGATTTGATCTCCTCTTTTTGTTAAACTAAGATCATTTAAATTTTTGATTTGCAGTCAGAAAAGTTTCTGAAACTCAACCAATCAGAGTGGTGAATGAAGAATTATGAACAGCCAATCAGAAGTCGGGTTATCCAATAATAGGGGGTAAGAGCATGATTAAGCAGAAATCAAAAGTGTCCACAAAGTATATTTAGATTAAACGATTGGTGTTAAGGGTAATCAATTCTAAAGTTAGCAGCTCTGGCTATAGAAATGTAAGGATTTAGGCGCATACTCTTAGGTAAACATATTGATAAGAAATTATTAGAAATAAAGAAATGTTGCGATTACAGATCAAAGGAACGGTAAGCGTAATTTCATGGGACCCTTCATGCACAGATGTTAATGTCAGATTTACAACGGTACCCTTAAAACCATTATTTATTCTTCAATAATATGGAATATATTGTCGTTTTCCTAGGTTTAAATATGTTAAACTGTCATAATTCCTAGATATGGTTTCCTAAAGTATAAGAGAAACAACAATTGAAAATAATAAGGTTTTGAATTTAAAAAAATTACAATAACTAATTCAACCTTGGTTAGTAAACGCTTTTCAGGATACCATCTTCGGCATATAGTGTCACTTGAAATTACACTTACATTTCCTCTTTATAACCCGTGTTCTAACCTTGAGCTATCCTGATCCAGATCAGTGCTCCCAAGGAATGGTTTAGTTGTCGCCACCTCCTCTTCAACTAAATATATTCTATATATTCTATATAGTTCAATATTGTCGACATTCAAACTATTAGTTTAAATTTATGTTAATATTTAAGATTTAATCTAAACACTTGAATTTGACACTATAATATATTTGATATGTGATTTTTGCCAAAAGTGTTTTGCTACAAGTAATTTCTGCTTTTTTCAATTTGTCAAATTTAATTTGTTAAACAACTTTTTATGATATATCTATAGTGTATATAACCAATATGACACATATGGAAATTTTATAATTTAGACATAACTGTCGATAAAAAATCATTTTAAAAGTTTTGTCTGTTTTCAGTTTAAAAGCAGCAATATACGTTCTTTAAATTATTCAACGTGAAGTGTGTCACTGAAGGAGATGATCAAATTTTTGCGACATCCCTTCTACGACTTTGTGACCTTAAGCTACTCTAGTTTGTTTTTACGCCCACGTTTTATAAATGCTAAATATTTGAGTCTCTGCGACAAACTCTAACTTTTTTCTGATCCCTATATCTCTGCAACTTGATGGAGGAGCTAATTAATTTTGTGTACTCTCCCGATTTGTCATAATAAGTCTGTATATGTACTGGTTAAAAGTAGGCCCGGTACTTGAAATGAACCAGAGTTTACAGTTGTCGTAAACCTTTGATATTTCAAACTTAGATTATTTTATCTAACAGTTTTAAACTTATAAGGTCTACGTCATAAGGAATTAGAAAATCAGAGTTTGTGGCAAAGACTCAATTTAGTTTGACGTGGTATACACTGTACACGTATTTGTTTGAAATCTAAATAATCTAAGGGGTTAAATATTCCAAGTATGTTTATGATGTAAACAACATTAATAATAATTGCAAAGGAATTGAGTCTTCGCCACAAATTCAAATTTTCTAATCTTTATATCTTTACAATCTGATGCTGTAAACCTTTGATATTTCAAACTTAGATTATGTGATCCAACATAATTCATAGTCTGAAAAATCTAAGGTATACAAGATCAGGTTGAAAATATATAAGAATTTTAAAATCACCAGTTTGTGGCAAAAACTCAATTCCTTTAAAAAAAATATTATTATTACTGAATTACTTTATTACTTAACATCTGTACAACATATATTAAGAAAACAGTCGAAAAATATAAATTATAAAAATTAACTTTTCTCACACTATATGTATAAGTTGTAAAAGTTATATGTATAAGTTAATCAAGACACCAGAGGCGCACCTAGGCCGGGGGGAGGGGCGAACCTTCCAAAGGCCCCCCCGCCTGAGAGACAGAAAAAGGGAACTGACATGTAAAAAGATGGAGTTAACGATGAACCATTGCATGATTTGTTTTAAAAATATTCAAATTCTAGGATTTCATTAAACAATAATTAATCTCATTCTTATTCCAAAGAATGAGTTAAAACGACATTAATTCCCATTTGATTATTCATCACTATATAGATTTTAACATCTTTTTTTCTATTTCATCAAGTTTTTTTTTGAATTTGCAATGACATTGACTCTTGTTTTGAGTCTAATGAGTCTTGTAATGAGTTTAATGTAAAGGATAATAATGAATTGACTGTTTAAGTATTTTGTGCAGGTAATCCAGCAAAAATAAGCGTTAAAACCAACAAATCCCATGTTTTCTGCTTGACATTGAAATATCTTTAAAAATCCTATTGATATCCAACTGCAATCCAATATGTCGCGAGCTCAGATTAATAAATAGTCAGAGGGCACAGTTGACCCTCCTGTAGTACAAATCTCATCAGTTAAAGGTTTGCTTTAATACAGGGTGTCCCATATCGTATCGCATTGTACATGACTCTAGTTTGGGTTCGCGGCGAGACGAATCAGAAAATGAATAAGATTTAATCATTTAAAAACAATTTACAAGCTAATCCAACAATTGTTATGCAGAAAACATAAGGTTTCATAAGTATTTTGTGCTTATGTTCATCTGTTGTCTATAGTAGAAGTGGAAAGGACTGTATCCAGCCCCTATCCAGCCACAAGATAACCTGTCCGACCAACATGGAGACAGTGTAAAAAAAATATACAATTAACGCTTTCTATGAAATAGATTTCCCATGATCATATTCATGATCAACTAGAATTTAAGATTTATAATTAGTTATATTAAAGAGAAAGCATAAGCAAGAGCTTTTCTGGATACATAGATATAAGATTGATAGTTATACGAACAGACAGTCAGACAAATAGATTAATATACAGACAATAAGACAGATTGATAGATATATTTAGATATATATATTTGTAGGTATAGATATACAGAAAGATATGTATAAAGATAGATAGATACTGTCAAGACGTCTGATACCCGTGTAAACTAGGTTCTACAGTCTATACAACAATCCTGGTTTCTGTGTCATCCTGCCATTGTTAATAAACTCTACACTCTTATATACGGAGATATCTACGCGGAGAAATTAGAGCGTTTTCAGGGCATGTTGGGATCATTAACAGCTGTTTATCATTGATTATACTTTAAATACAACATCTTGGGTAATTCCTTAAATATAAGTACACTTGATAAATACTTCTCTGTAACTGTTTAAGGTTACGGTCAGAGGCGTATTCAGGGGGGGGCTATGGGGGCTAAGCCCCCCCTGAATTTAGTTCAGAGGGTTTTCAAACCCCAAAGGGTGCTAAAGAAAAAAAAATTAAGCCCCTACGGACAAATTCCTGAATACGCCCTTGCTTACGGTATTTTCCGGGGGATTATTCAACTTTGATTAGCTATAAACCTTCCCTGATTAAACCCCATCGGCCTGATTCAGTATACACTCTATACTCTTGAAGAGTTCCATAAAAGAATAACTAAGTTAGTTTAAAAATATTATACTTAAGGCACATTAGAGATCAAAAGTACTAAAATTATAATCATAGAAAACGTGTATTGACACAACTCAAACTTAACTCTATGTATACTCCAAGTTGCGTATAGTAAGAGGTATTTATAACTCCTTGGTATACTCGAAACTCCAACTACACTCTCTATGTATACGCCAAGGTAAGTATAGTGAGAGGTATTTATAACTCCTTGGTATACTCGATATTTCAACTACAATCTATATGTACAAACTATATGCACATACTCTGTGTATTATATAATTTATGTAAACTCTATGTATACTCTATTTATACTCCAAGTCTGCTCCATATGGTAGTTTATACTATGTACTATTATATTGTCCAGAGGGGACAGATTACACTGTTAGAAAATTAAGCTATAGTGTTCTTCACATTTTACAAACAATTTATCTATATATGGATTTGGCTTGAGCTGGTGTTTTTTTGTCCAATCAACGTAAAACATCTAGACCGATCCGGCCATTTTACATAAACAATTGAAGGTTTATGGCCAAAGAGAATAGAATATATATTAGAGGGGAATTTACTAGAAAAAAGTGTAAAACGGCCATTTTGTTGTACTGTTTCCATACTGCAGGTGTACTTCACATATTTATGCTATATAACCTTTTGGGCCCTGGAATATCATTTTATAGAAAATCTAAAATTAATGTTAAAAGAAAACCAAATTATGAAATAGGCTGGTTTCATAAT